ACTTTCCCTCCCCAGATCACTTTTATCCTCTTTCTATATCAAACAGGAACATCTCATTCCCACCTTCCAGGATGAATAAGTTCTATCCCTGCCTCCCATAGTTTGTAGTTCCATCACCTGTATTTCATTAAATACTCTTCCCTTAAAAGCAACCTGGAAAGGACAAAACCACCAGGGTTCTTTTTGATTCCTTATGATGAAAATTTGACAGATTCATCAACAGAAGCCTGGCTGTTTCTGGATCCCCACCTTCTGAGATACCAGGCTATTACAACTCCTGCAATTGTTTGTAGGAATAGCTTGCAAGGGCTTCCTGGATGAGTCAAAATCTGAAGTGCTAAGTGGAACAGGGTGAAAGTGCTACATATTCAAATAAAAGTATTTAGAGAAAACAAATATAATAAACAGAATTTACAAGTTAGTAATTATAGACGAGGCAAGATGCTTAAGTAATGATACTTCTAAGGTTGTAATTTTTAAGAACGCACCAGAAAGCAATTGTAGGCTTTATTCAGATTATAAAAGCAGCAACGAAACACACAAGGCCGGCTAAGCTTAGGTCATCTTTCCGTGCCTCACTGTTCGTGCACGTCAGTGCGCTCCCCTAGACCCAGGGACAGGGACTGCAGCCCCCGGCTGCCCCAGAGCCCGGCCCGGCCCAGGCACACCCGCACCCCCTGAGGGCCGCGGCACGATCCCTCCGAGCCCCTCAGCTGCCCGCGGTACCTCGCGCCACTTCTGTCCGCACACCAAGGCAAAACACGAAACCGCGACACCGGCCCCCAACCCCGCGCGGGGGCTCACAGGCCCAGCCCGAACGCTCCCTGCCCGTACCTGTCCATGGTCTGCGGCAGCGCCAAGCCCGTCTGCTCGGCCATGGCCCCGGGCGGAGGAGCGGGCCCAGCCGAGGGCCCGGAGCCTGACAAAGGCGTCACGCGTGCGGCGGCGGACAAAGGGGAGCGAACGGGAAGGCGGCGAATCCGCCCTTCCGCGGGACGGCCCCTCCTTCAGCAGGTGGGACGCGGCGCAAGCCGGTGGCCGGGGCAGGACGGAGCGGCCGGGCCGCCGCGGGGAGAGGCGGCGAGCGCTGAGCGCTACCGCGCCGCCGTCACCGCCGCCCGGCCCCGCAGCGCGCCTGCGCCCAGGGCAGAGCCCGTGCCCGGCTCTCCGGGACCGCCGGGAGCTGTAGTCTTGCCGTAGTCCCGCCGCGATCCCGCCGCAGTCCTGCCGCCGCTGGGAGCTGTAGTCCCGCCGCCGGCGCGGGTTTAAAGGTCCGGCGGGGCGCTCCCCCTGCCCTGCCCATGTCTCTCCTCGCCGCCGCCGTCGCGCAGTCGCTGCCCGGCTCCGCGCGCGGGGCAGGTACGAGACCGCGGCGGGGCGGCCGAGCGGGGTCTGCGGGGGAGGGTTCGCGCCCGGCGGCTGCTGCCCCTCCTGCCGTCCCCCGCCGCCGGCCGGGACCCTCGCGGGTGGAGGGAGGGAGGGAGAGGCTGGGCCGCCTGCTCTGCCCCGTCCCCGCTCCCGCAGGGAGCCCTCGGGCAGGAGCATCTCCCGGTCCCTCCCTGCCGAACAGGTGCAGGCGGCCCCCGCCGCTGCTTGGCCCCGGGCCCCGCGGGCTGCCCTCAGGGCGGAGGGGACCCTGCCGGCTGCCAGCCCCGACCCGGCTGCCCAGAAGGGCGGTGGCTGGAGCGGTGGAAGGGAAATTAATCCGTTTCAGTGGTGGTGTTGTCGATGACAAGGACAAGCGCCCTTGTAAGTGGGACTTGGTGCTCGATGGAGGCCCGGTGACCACTGGCTTCTGTGTGCAAGTGGGGTGAGGGATGGCACGGCCAGTGGTAATGGCTAAAGCTCTCTTTTGGTGGTGTGGGAAAAAAAATATTTCTAAGGTGCTTTTAGAATTTGTTGTATGTTCAGAAGTCAATGTAGAGCATCACAATCTGAAAAACTGGAAATTTAGAAGCTGAAGAGCCTTTATAGAGCAGAGGTGGATCTGGAAAGAAGTTGCCTTTCCAATGATCTCCACCATGGGTGTTTGTCTCCTGCCTTCATGTCACGCTCCTGAAGCAAAGGCAATAGTTCTGTTTGTCAGAGGCTGTTGTGACATGACAGATTCTTTGAAAGACTGCTTAGTATAAATGAACTTTTAATTTTCCTTTTCAGGTTATATTTTTAAAGAATAGTGCTTACTTGCTATATGAAACTAGTTCCTGTACCTTGTGTGAATTGCACTGCAGTTGCTGTTCAAGGTTGCAATTTACAGGGCCAAGCCCCGGGTGCAGCTGTGCAGCTGCACCAACCTAGAGCTATTCTTGGCTGAGATCAAGCTTTTGCTTGTATGTGACAACAGACATCAGGTGTAACAGGAAGGCAAGTTTAGGGAATATACTGGATTCTTTGGCTCTGCTCCCTTAGCTAAGGACAAATCGTTCTGGTTTTGAGAGTCTTTGGGGAGAGAAAATTGTTGTCAATATGTGTGTAAAACACCTGGCCTTGGACCTGTAAGCAGTATTATGTGCATAGTAGTAAGTAGTGTATAGTAGTAAGGGTGTTGTTTATTTTCTAATTGCTACAAATATCATAAAGAGGAATGCTGAAGTATTTACAGAGATGTAGATATTCCTTTCAGGAGGTATAGAAACAGGTAGGAAGAAGGCACTGACATCCTGTCCCAGAAAATTTATTTTGTTCTTATACTTGGGGCCATAAAATTCACTGCTGAGTCCAACTGAGGAGTGTTGGATGTACAGTGGCCTGAGTAAACCACATGGGCATGACCTCCTGGAAGAGATCCTAATACACACTGTCCCAATTACAGCTGTCCATGGCATGTAAGAGCACTATTGGATATCAAGTGTTTCTGGTTCCTATTCTTGGTCTGGACTAAGATCATTGCCTAATGGCCAGAACATTGAGCAGCTAGGCTAGCCTAGTTTAGGTTATTTATATTTATTCTGAAGTGTTACAAATGGAAAGAGGGAAGCTGGTTTTATTTCTAGGAGTATGTGGTTTGTGCAATTTCTGTATTTTTGCTTTGGTGTTGAAAGGATATGCTGGTTGCCTGCCATTTATGATAAAGGTCATAGTGGCTAATAATAGCTGTGAAGAATATTTACCTGAAGAAATGGAACCAGAACCCAGGAGCACTTGGCTACCATTTGAGGCTATAGAACTGTCTGTAACAAAGATGACTGATTTGCTCTACCACTGGCAAAGAAAGGTATGACAAGACTGGAATGGACAAAACTTGAATATCAGGTCAAATAGTGAACAGTCAGTAGGTTTGGACTTTTTTTCAATTTAATATTTTTTCCAAACATGAAAAATAAAAATGTAATAGGATACATAAAAGCATAATTGGACAAGCTTTAGTGGTTTCAAACTAAAAGACAGTAGATTTAGATTGAACATAAGGAACGAATCTTTTACTATGAGAGTGGCAAAGTACTGGCACAGATTGTCCAGAGAGAGGGTAGATTCCTTGTTCCTGGAAACATTTAATGTCAGGTTAAGCAACTTGATCTGGTTGAAGACATCCCTCAGTGCAGGGAGGTTGGACTATAGGAGCTTTAAAGGTCTTTTACAGCACAAAGCATTGTATAATGGCAGACCCCTTAACATCCCATAAATAGCTTAAAGATTCTGAAATCCAGAAACTGATTTGTGGAAACTGTTGGACAGCTTGGGATATATGTTCTTTATCCGCTCTTTCCAGAATCAAAGTGTGATCCTAAAATACAAATATTACCAACTGGTTTTGAATTTGTCAAAAAACACTTCCTTACTTCCAGACAGAGCAAGAATTGTCATTTTATCCTTCTCTATTCTCTTTAACAAGACTGGATATGCAGCTGCTCTATTAAAATGCTTGCTTTATTCTCCCCTACAATCACCTCCTTCACTCTCCCTCATCCTCCTTTTCTCTTTATTTTCTTTCTGCTTTTTGTTCTTTATACTTCCTTCTTTGCATTGGCAGTTTCCACTGTAAGTCTCAGATTGCCTCTTGCATTTTGTTTTCATTTTTTAACTATTGCTTCCTATATCATCCCTTAATAGATCCTTCTTTCTTTCTTCCTTCCATTTCTCTGATGTTCACTGCACTCTGCCTCACTCTGTCATCTCTTACCTGCGCCTGGCAGTGAGTGGCTACATTTGAGCCGAGAGAAGTCTCCTGGGAGCAGGCTCTGTTTGGCCAGTGCAGAGTGAGGGAAAGTGGCTGCTCTTCCTGGAGCTCTGCCACAGCTCAGCTCCCAGACACTGACTGGAGGTAGCAGCCATTTTAAGTAAATTAAGTAGAACTGCGCATTTGAAGGCAAGTATAGAACTTAATGAAAATCACCAAATATAAGCTATTTAGGGCTTAAAATTGACTCCTAAAATTGGCTATCAGATTTACTGCAAAATATCAACTTTTAAAGATATGAAATGGTTTGATAACAAATGTATGCAGATTTAAGCTTAATAAAGAAGCTGACAAGCAAGTACTGGAAGAATGACATGGAGGTAGATTAAATATATATGTATAGATGACTATTTCAGTGAGACCTGGAAAAGAGGACAAATACATAAGAAGCTGTACCTTTATATGGTTCTTCTGAACTTGCAGTATTAAAACTGTGGAAATTATTAGCTGTTTACAATAAAGCTAAGTAATCTGGCAATATAGGAATATTTTATTTTGGCAAATCTAAATATTAACTGCTATGATAGTGATGTGTAAAATTGAATTACAAGATCAGTTAGGCATTTTTCATTTACTTGGTTCCATTTTTTAAAAGATAAGTAGCCCTTAGTCTAAAATGAAATGAATCTAAGTCAAAAAAGGTGTTTCTACAATGAAACTTGGGGTTTTTTTCAGTACTGTAACACTTCATTTTAACCTTCAAGCCAGCTGGAATAGTCACTTTCTGTCAAAAAAACTAGCATGGTTTGTTAGTCACAGGAGGTGTAAAGAGGCTTAAATTGCTTCATAATGAATTGCTTAAAAAAATACACCTTATACAATGTTAATTGAATTAGCTTGGTTTATTTTGGTCCTTTTTTACATTTATTTCTTTGGAACTGGCCCAGGTCAAATAATTCATATAGCAGATTGAATTAAGCTCTTGTGTTCTGATTCAGCTGTTGTTACTATCTTTTAACTTCCAGTTATGAGGGAGCTGGTGGCTGGAAACTAACAAAAAAAAATTATTCTATTAGCTAGTTGATTGGAAACTCTCTTTACATCTTTATTTTCTTTAGTTCTGGAGTGCTTTTCTTTATCCTAATGTTTGATCTATCAAGTGAAACTGTTTCCTGGGAAGAACTGACAGAAACAGTGCGGTCCCTTGCATGTGAATCCTCAAATCATCTGAAAAGCAATAACCCACAAGTAAATAGGGACATAAAGGAGGGCATAGAATGTGTAGAGCGAGCCCTTTGAGAGGTGGGATAGTTCATAAAATTAAGTATTTTCTGTCGCTGTAAGAAAAACGTTTTGCTGCCTTTAATGATTCAGAGTAGCACAAACAGGTTAGAGCAAGTGTTGAGAAACTCTTAATTACACAGTTGATTTAGGGCAGGCAGACCAGACAGTCCAACATAAACAGAGTGCAGAAAGCAGAGACGTAAGTGTTGGAACAACTCACTTTCAACTGCCCTAATTTATTTTTCTCAGCTTTAGTCATCTCTCTTTCATGCACAAAGCTATGCATATTTCATCGTTGGAAAATCAGCCTGCACTTTTATTAAACACTGTTATTTTCACACTTCTGATTTCAACAGTGTATTTCCTTATGAGCATTACTGTTTGGTCTGAATAATTAGTATTATGAATTACCCAGAATAAATATGCAGAATAATTCATGGACTAGTGCAAAACAGAACACCAAGTGTCCGTGAATGAAATTCTGAGAATTTTACCTGACCTACATGAATGACCACTATATTAATATCTTATGAGAGGAACTCCTGTCAGGCTGTGTATTGATGGGGAGGCTGGATTATGTAGATGGTGGGTAGTGAAAGGGAGGGAGGTGAAGTGTGGCACCACCATGTACAGAATAGATGGAATGTTAAATAGTAACATTCACACCTTGATTTTCTTCTGAGCAGCTTTTTTTTTTTTTTTTTTTTTTTTTTTTTTTATTTTTTTTTTTTTTTTGGAATTTTTAGTGTAGTAACAATTCAGTAATAAAAAGTTGTAACTTGGAAATTGGAAACTATTAAAATAGTACAACTTTTCACCTATGTACTGATTTTGATTTATTTTTAAATTTTCATACTTGACCTATTTGTGTTTGAGTTTCAGAATATATTTAGAAATTATATTATGGCACATGATTATTTAATATATTCTTCAGCTAAGCAACGTGGCATGATTTCCTTTGTAATAGCTGTAAACTTTATAGCTGGTATGAGCTTATAATTAATTTCTTATGCTAGGAGTTTGTAAGGGAAGTGTGGAAATACTGGAACTATTTCTTTGTCTAGCAATTGTTTGGAATAGGTGGCTATTTGATCTGGGCTTCTAAATCAAACTATTTAAAAGCGCATGTTTAGTTAGTCACTTTCAGCTCAGTCTGACAGATATTTCCTCAGAGCTGATGATTCAGATTGCAGCAGTTTTCCCTGGGAAGAGGGAGTGTGCCCGTATTTTTTTTCCCTGTCGAGCTCTCTTCCTTTCAGGAAGCAGCAGTGCAATGCTGTCTATCGGTAAGACTTCAAACCCCATGATTCCATGGGAGAGCATGCGCTGAAAGCTTCCAGTTGTCAAAGTGCTCTTGCCAGACTGGTCGACTATTTGTCATATACTAAACCTGAAAGAAGAAAATAAATATACTGTCCTTTTTTTGATATTTAAATACAGAAAATCCGAAGGTAACTGTTCCTTAAACGTTTCTGTGTTGGCTGCGTGGGTTTCTGCATGCAAATGGATCTGGTATTGCTATGGGGATATAGATTTCCTGTACTGGATTGTAAATTTGTACAAATACTTACACCAAATAATCAAGAGTACTGCATACTAGTCCCACATTAGACATTGGCTGGCCTGTCTTTCAAAGTAGTTTATTAACCAGTATTTTTTCATTTGGACTGGCTTCATTCATTAAAGGAAGGTCTTGACCTTGACAAGAGGTTGAACGGTGCAGTGATTTTTGCCTTTAAGAAGCAATATGGAAGGGAATGTGAATCACAGTCCTTAGGATAAAGTTCAAAACCAGCTAGCTAAGTCAAGGTGCATATTTGAAGCAACTGCTGTACTAGCCACTATAGATAACCTGGTGACTAACTAATTTAAATATAACTTTATTGATGACAGAATTTTAACATTTCAGCTGCTGTGTTTTTCTCTCTAAATGTATTTTTATACTGATAGGTCAGACCCAGGGGAGAGGGATATACATAATCTTTTTCTCCCTCTGATGTGGAGTCATCAGTAGTTTTATGTAGCCTTAGGAGTAATACTGATGTGGGTAGAAGTGAAGCTAATGGAAAGTTACACAGACAGAGCTTGGTGTATTGTGGTTTACTGCAGTATTGCTTTAAAATGCCTTGCAAGGTTTTCTGCACTCCCAGCAGCAGCAGCAGCACTGCCTGGAACAGATGCAATGGTTTACCCCGTCCTTAGGAGCTTAATGTTGTCTCACAGCATGGTCTGCTCAGGAAGCCTTGCTGCTCACTTTACATATTGAACTGGTAAATCAGGGGGAGCATAAGCAGTAACTTACTAGATACCAGAAACCTCTCCTGGAATTCATTTTAACCAAAATGTGTGTGCATGCCTCAGAAGATATTTAAAGGAAAGAACAAAAAGATATGTGCATGCCTCAGAAGATATTTAAAGGAAAGAACCTGGACCATTTGATGTCAGAAAGGACAGTGTCGACAGTTTCACACTTTGCCGCCTTTCTTAAACAGTTAATTGATTTGGCTATACATTGTTACCTTACAAAAACAATCCTAAAAAATACAGTCTTTGCCATGTAAATGTCATATGATTAACTCAATAGCAATGCAGTTAGGTATTCAGCGATGGCCATCTTTGGCATAGTTACTCAATAAAAGTAAGTGATTTGGGACACATTTGAAATATTTTTGAGATTAAGAATGATCTCCTCAATAGACTAAAAGCCTGCAAAATGTGGAGGTTCCTGTTGTGATTTCATACAATTGCTGTTCATTGATGTCTGTATTGTTAATACTATTGGGTCTCAAAATCATTATAAAATTATGTGATCTGCCCTGTTTCATATGGAGCACATTTTCTAGCATATATAAGCCTCAACCATTCCGTACACATTTCCTTTCTGAAGTTTGAACTTATGTATTGATTTAGCAAATAATTTGCAACACTTGTCCTTGTCTTGCACATATAAAGATGATTTTTAACATGCAGCATGTCTGTATTGTAAATGTTTCGATTTCCCCTGGTTTTATATTTCATTTGAAAGCATTAGAAAGATCACAGTCTAATAATATCTCCCCGGTCTGCTGATTTAGACCCTACGGTTTTCTAATGGAGAAATCACCGATGATTTCATATGTATGTGTATAAATAGAGCGGGTGTGTGTATAAATAGAGCGAGTAGATAGCTATACCTTCAAGTAAAGGACTGCTTTGATGTAAAATAGCAATTTACGCGGAGAGATGGTAAGGTCACCGAAGGCAAATCCAACACCCATGGTTGGCTTTGTACGCGAAGTGTCTCCGCCCCCCGGCCCCCCTTCGCGGCTGTGCCATCGCCTCGGCTGCCCGGAGCCGGCTGCGCGCAGGGACGGGCAGGAAGCGATTGTGCAGCGAGGAGCCGCTCCCGCATCGGCGAGCGTTCGTCCCTGTGCGCTTTCGCTCTGATCAGCCTCAGTCACTGCAAGCTTGCTTGTTCATTAAGGAAAATCGGTACCCGGCTCCTTTAAAGGTCCCCTAATAGAAAAGGGGGTGGAGAAGAGCGAAGACTGGTGTCTTTTTAACCTTGCTGAAGGACGCAGCAGTATTTATTGACGTATGCAAATAACTAGGGGGAGGAGGTGGAGGAGGAGGGTGCTTGGAAAAACAGGAACCAGAATCAGTTTCTCATTGCAGGGTGAGAGCTCTGAGTTCCGGTGTAAGAGAAAAGAGACGTGGCGAAATTGCTGTATATCTCTGCCCTATAAGCACATCTCTCATTTAGATTGAAGGGAAACAAGGCATCAAAAAGGGTGAAGCATCTTAAAAAATATTTTAAGGGCATTCCAGCACGATCAAAGGTTACATATTCCTAAATGGGGGAGGGGGAAGATTACGCGGGTTTGCCTTGCAATATGCTGTAGCACAGTACTAGCAATAGGACGAGATTTTTGGCTGGCAAATGATTAAAACAGACTGGCTTGTGGTATGAATGACAATGCTAATAATCTGTCTTTGTGGTTTTTTCCCCTACTGTTTCAGCTGCGCAAACCATGCAGGATGATTTACTGATGGACAAAAGCAAAGCCCAGCCCCAGCAGCAGCGGCAGCAGCAGCAGCAGCAAGATCCAAACTCAGCAGAAGCCCCCTCTACACCCATCTCGTCGGAGACACCCAAACCAGAAGACAACAGTTCAGTGACTAGTATCGGCACATCGGCTCCTTCCCAAAATAGCAAGGAGAAGATGCAGATGGAGTCTCCCATTTTGCCTGGCTTGAGCTTTCACCAGCCTCAACAAGAACCTGCAGCCGGCACCTCCTTGTCTCCCTCGTTTGGCAGCACCTGGTCTACAGGGACCACAAACACGGTGGATGATAGCTTTTTCCAAGGGATTACTCCAGTCAATGGGACAATGCTTTTCCAGAATTTTCCACACCATGTCAACCCTGTATTTGGTGGCACTTTCTCACCTCAGATTGGCCTAGCTCAGACTCAACACCACCAACATCAGCAGCAGCAGCAGCAAGCTCAGCAGCAGCAGCAGCAGCGGAGGTCACCTGTGAGTCCTAATCAGGCACCTTTTGCCCAGAGAAATGCTGCTTACAGCCATCAGCCCATCATGACCAGCAAACCGTCTTCCTCCTCTGCCTCTTCTTCTTCCTCCTCCAGCTGGAATAACCATCAAAACGCAGCTTGGAGTACACCTTCCAACCCTTGGGGTGGGCTGCAGGCTGGTAGGGACCCTCGAAGGGCAGTTGGAGTGGGGGTTGGCGTGGGAGTGGGAGTTGGTGTGCCCTCCCCCCTCAATCCCATTTCACCCCTTAAAAAACCCTTCTCCAGCAATGTCATTGCCCCTCCGAAGTTCCCACGGGCTGCACCCTTAACCCCCAAATCCTGGATGGAAGACAACGCGTTCAGGACGGACAATGGCAACAATCTGTTGCCTTTTCAGGTAAATGACTACACGCACCTTCTGCATGATGACAGCTATCACAAATTTCTGTTTTTTGCAGGGCTGTGTTTCATGTTACTGTTCTGAGTGGCACCTCCATAACTCACGTTTTCATCAAATAGTCGCCTTTCATGAAAGAAGTGGGGTTGAACCTAGGGAGTGCATACACAAGGATTTCCAATTCTAGCTTAAGGTTTAAAGTCTTATTTTTCTTGTAGTTTATTGTTAAATGTGGTGTCTGGGGTTTTTTGTTGTTGCTTTTTGCTCTTTTTTTAGCATCTGAAAGGTAGCAGCCTTCATGAAAAACAGGTTTGGCAGACTGCATTCCCTTGGTGCTGTGTTAGAATTTTTTTCCTATTCTCCCATATTTGAGAGAGCTGAGATGTTGAAATTGCTGGTTCAGTTTTCTAACTGGTCTGTTAATTTTAACCAAAGATGCTTCTTGACCTGAAATTCAGTTAATTATTTTATCACCTTTGCAATAACTAATTGTCCTTATGTTGTGGTGGGATTTAACAGGGAGTCTGTTCACATAAGGCATCCATATGAAAAGCTGTGTACATCTAATACGTACACCCTGCTGTTATATTCACAGTGGACGTTTTGAATACATCTCGAAGCAGCGTGGGTGTGTATGGAAAGAGTGGCGTATCTGTCCTTTCCAGTAAGGAAATGCCTAATACAATTGACACGATTTAGAAATGGCAGGAAAGTATTGTATAAAATAAACCATTTTATGCTGTTCCGAATATTTGCAGAGAAAAGAGACAATAGGACACGACCTTCAGAGCCATATTGCAATGGAGTCTATTTACTAGCTACATAGCTCTGAAATATTTAAAGCTGCAGTGCCCTTCACTTTTTTTTTTAAATCTATGACGACAAAGCAGATCAATTGCAGCTGAAACTGGGCCAAATGGAAGATTTGCAATTTTAATGCAGAATGAAACCTGTCATGGTGTGAAATCCATTTTAAGTTGGAAAAAAGCAGAGCTTGCACTTGCAGTTATATCTATACTAGGTGAAGTGAATCTCGGACCTTTTCTAGGTTAGCTGTTTTGGTGTCAGACAAGTCAAAATTTTCTGCTTTGAAATACAGTTAAATTATTCATATATGCTTGGTCTTTGGGTAGTTGTTTTCTCAAGAAAGTATTACCTCTCAAACATCTTTAATTTACCAATTTGGTAAGAATGGCATTTAGATTGATATTTAGTTTTAGAAACACAGTAAAAAAAGAAATCAAACAAATGCATCCCCACCCCTATTATTTTAGGAGACTGTTGAAGTAAAACATATGCACTTTCCAGTCCTATTCAAAGAGGACATCTTATAGTCAGCCCTGAAATTTCATTTTGCTGCTTCATTCTGTTTAAAGGGAGAGTTGCAATTTTTTTATTGGCTGCCCTAAATGAAGGTGGAGTGGCTTCTGGTGAGCTGCTGGTTAATGTCTCTGAAGCACTGAAGGCTGGAGGAAGAATACGCTTTAGACACAATGCGCCTGCTGTAAATACTATGTTGCACCAGAGCACAGCACCACAAAAGCTAATAGCTCCCAGTCATTTTTTAGAAGTGGGAAATGTGTGTCAATTTACAAGTATTCTGAATTGTCTACATGTAAGACATTACAAATCTTGGTATATTTGAATTAGTAGTGAAACCAAAAGTAGATGGTCTTATTTCTGTGGTTTGGTTAGTGAGATACATCTTTAATGAATACAGAACTTTATTATTATGACTAAATTATCACAAATTAAACTGGCAGATATTTACTCATCACAAGGAAAAAAATAGCTAACTGCTTTTAAAGAAAAGTTCTTTTGAAATTAAGGTTTCAAAAAAACTAAACTATCAGCCAATATGTAAATTAGAAACTTGTTTTCTTCTCTGTGAATTTAACCTGGTATTTTCATGTTCAACTGAAAGCAAATGCGTAGGCTATTCTCAGCACCAGCTGGTATAACAGTCTGATTTCAGAGACTGAGAACACTTGTATTTTTTTTTTCCTATTAGGCTCCTTTTTTATTTAATGCAAGCTGCTGATTATTGCTTATTAAAAATTGTAATCTGGGTTACTGTTGATTGCTGCTATGGTTAATGAAATGCCAAAGACATCTTGAAACCATACTATTGGTAGGAGGCAACTGTTTAGTTGCGCTGATAAAAATGAAATTCAAATTAGTCTAAGAGTTTAATATTTGCTGCCAAGGTTCTGGCTGTCTTTTTTCTTCTTCCCCTCACCCCTAAATTGGGCAATATGTTGACACAGTAAGTTCTGCTTGTCAGCACTATCAAGTAGTTCTGGCAGGTTTATCTGTTTACATCTGCCACCCTCCATAACTGTGTGGTTTTGAGCAACTTTAGAAATACCTTCCAGTAAACTTCCTAGCAACACACTTATGTACATTAGCAAGTTCTTTGTGTTAACCTGTTATTTTATGTTAGGATTATTAGGCTTTCTAGGAAAGAAGAAAGTTATTAATATGTTCACTGTTTGAAATAACATCAGGGAAAACCGTTTTGTAGTTCAGATCTTTGCAGTGATCAAAAATATTGATCAGAAAAGATCTGTAACTGAGATTTGTGTTCTGAGTCTGTAATATTTGAAGACAGTTGATACTCAACTATTGATAGATCTTGTTCTAGGAAAAAATGTTCAATTTGAAAATACTCTTAAAACATGTATATAAAGCAATATGCTAGATATTTTCATCCCTTAATTTGAGTAATACTTTCATGCATCTTGTATATCAAAACCAATTGGTATCTGTCCCAAGGAGTTGTGCTGCAGAACATACCAGAAAATTCAAGATACCACTTGGTAGGAGCTCTGCTAGTGTTTACCTTGTGATTGGTGTGGAAAAGCCACTAAAAATACTTTGAGGGAGACTACATTCATACGCTCTGGAAAAAAAATCAACTGCAATGTATATTAAAAAAAAAAATGTAGATACACAGCTGATAGTTGAAAGGAAAAGGAGAAGCGATCAGTCTGGAATGAAATGTAATGTAGCAAGGAAGAGTTGGAGACAAGATCATGGGAACAGGTGTGGAACTAGTCTAGAGAGAAAATACAAAAACATGGCTAGTTTGTTCTTCTGAGTATTTTTTGGCTTCTGAGTGGTTCAGGTGCAGGGTCTCTGCCTGTCATGTGGCAAGCAGTCGTGTTGTGCTATTATGTTAGGTGATCCTCAGCTCTGGCATTTGAGGCTGGCATTAACTGATTGTCCCTAGGATGCCATTCTCCCAGCAGTGGCTCAGTTCCATTTTCCAGCAGAGAGCTGGGGCTTGTACAGAACTCTTGTCATCTCCTGCTTCTGAGCTTCTCTTTCCCTTCACTTGTCTCAGGTA